TCCCTGGAGATGTTCAAGGCCAAGTTGGATGTGGCCTTGAGCAACCTGGTCTATTTAAGAGTATCCCTGTCCATGGCAGTGAGGTTGGATTAGAAGATCTCTAAGGTCCCTTCCAATCTAAGACATTCCATGATTCTATGAACAGAATCTTGTCTTCGGTCAATAGCTTCTTTTAATTTTGAAAAGCAAGGGGTTTAGGAGCCAAGTCTTAGATACCCAAAATACTAAAACAGCACTTCTGCACTCAAAATCTGATGTTTACTGCAAAGGCGGCCTTCTATTTCCCAGTAGCTCAGGAGAAAGAATTTCATACAGTATCTTGAATTTTCTTGACTTAAAGCCAGGATCAAACCTTCTAATTTCCCTGAGGAAAGAATGGTGGGAGGGAAACCCAGGGGCCCTCCAGCCTGCATCTGTATGACCCTGTGGCTAAAGGCTGACTTCAGCTCTGTCTTCTGTTTTGCTAATCTCTGATATAAAAATACTAGCTGCCTCTTCAAGGGCTTTTTTTGGGATTTTGACTACTCACTGATAAATTAAAGGCATTCAGATACAAGGACAGAAGATGCTATATCTATATAAGGAAATATTGACCTTTTAACTTTACCTAGAACGTGATTATCATTTAAGTGCTTTTTTTCAATAAACACCTTTCTTTCTGAGCAGGTTTACTGAAGAAGGCTGGTATCTATTTGCAGACAGCTCGAATGGAGAATTTGGTCACACAGCTGACATTGCTACACCTGTCATCTCCCTTACGGGGCCCAAATGCAAAATCGTGTTCTGGAACCACATGAATGGTTCAACCATAGGTTCTCTGGAGGTATGGAGACATTCTTTCATTTGGGCTGGTTTCAGTTTTGTTTGGCTTTGGGGTGTTTTACTGCCTGAAATTGCTGTGAGAAAATTAATGTGTTGTAATTTAGTTTCATTAAAGCCTAGGCTGCTAGAAAGTGAAAACAATTACTGACACTTCACTGCTTTCAATATGTTATTATCTGAAGGAAGCATTAGCTCAAGTAAGCTGGGGAAAATGTAACTTTCTGCAACAATCAAAAATTGTGACCTTTATAGACATAGCATGGTTGAAACTTCCATACAAGAAAAAGCCTTGTGCTGCACAATATTCTTTGACACTAAAAAGCATCAGTAGACATTTGGATATGGAGGCATGAAAACCAGAAGTAATTGTATTAAAATTTGCTGTAAAATTTTGCAGAAGCAGCTTATTCCTCAGAAAGTTTAACATATATCTTTCAGAGGTTAATGTAATAATTTTTTTTTTGGCTACGCATCTGAGTAACTATAATGGAATTTCCCATTAACGTTACATATTAAGTACAGCATCAGGATAAGCTTCTCAGTCACCTGTGCATGCAGTATCAAATTGGCTGTGGCCACTGCATGCGGATTTAACTGTGCAAATAAATTCTCACTAGCTCATTTACTTTGATAAATAGACTATGATAAAAAGCTGACAGAATTGAACTGTTTTGAAGATGAAATAAAAATGTTTGTTGACCTTAGAACTGAAATTTGAGATGTGGTGTCCTTCACTCTATGCATGTAACTTACTAGACGTTCGGATGAAGCATGTTCTGTGTTTCCTTTAATTTTTCTTAAACAGTTTTTAAAATTATCACTTAATTTCTCCCAAGTAGGTAAAGATCTTGCTAGGCTGCTTGGCGAGTAGTCAAATTCATCAGAATTAGTGGTAAATCAGAGTATAAAGATTTTGTCCTATTTTTAAGACTTGGGACAGAACAATTTTCTTTGAGATTTCTTTGCATTTTCTCAAGATTCTAGGGGTTCTTTACAGTTGTAGGAACCCACGTTAGGTGGAATCCACAGAGTGTTCTGCAGGAAATAACAACAAATTCTATGGGGGTATGCCCAGTATTCCCACTACAAAAAGCAAATGTATCTAGAAATTATTTTTGTCAGCTTCAACACAGGATACTAAAACGTCTCTCCATCCCTAAAGTGATTTCCCACCCACATACACACCTCTATAACTTAATTGATTTGAAGATATACCAAAGGGAAATCACAATTTTTTTGCATTTGAAACGTTGCAAGTAATTGCCTACTTTCAATTGCTTAATATAGCAATTAATGAATGTAGGAATAACTCAGAATGTAAAATTATTTAGGAAATTTCCTTCTAGAGGTTCTAGGTATTATATGAATCTTTTCTGTCCTAAAGGCCTTTTATCCATTTCTTCCCCCTACATTTTTCATTCACAACTTTGGATTTTTGGATGTTAGTCTACATCCATGCTGTCACATGTCATGTAGGACATGCTGAAGGCTTGTCTGCTGTTCTCATGAATGTCTGCCTTCCTGTGTTTATAAGACTTTCTTAAATGTTGATTAGCCATCACTTTATTATGCAACCTTGATCTGAGTATTTATTGGAACCTTTTTTATCTGGTTTCTGCCCTCTGATTTGACATGGGTAACCCTACTAAAGTATTAGATCTGCTTTTTCAACAACTTGCAATGTAATTGAAATATATAGGGCTTCAAAGTGCCTTAGGGTATGGGGAAGCCACGGATTTTAATAGCATATAAATTTATGGCCATATTGAACACTAAAATCATAATCTTTAGCACATGATAGGAAATAGGAATTTCTGATGAAGGACTTGGATTTTTAATACGGTAGGTAATTTACAGTCTATGTAGAAGCACATGTGTATGTGTCTATATAGTCATGCACATATCTATATTCATATATGTAAATATATAGTTTGTATGTGACTGTAAGGAAAACCTTTTCTTATTCACCATCCTTTATTCTCTCAAATAATATCTGTAATCCCTTTTTTTTCCCCCAATTTTTTTTCCCTTAAAATTCACGTCTTCTTTGGGCAGTTCTTGTCTCTAGAGCCAGATGTCACTTTGATTTTTCTATTCGGTTTAATATATTATACCTCTTTCTTTTGTTTTCCTGGAATGAAAGCTCTTCGCTGTGAGGATCTGCTGTTTGCTTGGCAGAACTTAGCTGTTATGCAGTAACATATACACTCATGGGACTGCATAAATTTAAAAAAAACCTTTTTTTTTTTCAATAAGATGAAAAATTCCTGGGCTGCCCTAAGAAGATTACACAGAGTAGCAATAAATCCTTGAAAGAAGAAGTGGTTCAGGCACCTGGTGAACTGATGTTGAGCTCTCTGAGTACTGATTCGAGACGCAGCTTGACACACTTCATCAAACACCCATCTTGTTGTTATTGTCAGCTCAGTTGAATCTGGATGCCCCAGAGGTTGGAGCAAAGCATATTTGGGACTTTGTTCTCATGTCAAAAAGTGTCAACTTTCCCCAATTCAATGACTATTTACAGATGTCAGGATTTTTACGAGTCTTCTACTGACCAAACAGATGAAATTTGATCTTTAGAAGAAAAAAACACATTTTTATTTATAGGAGAAAAAATCATTTCATTAAGAATCAGGACAAGAATATCTGTTCCAGAACAGAGCAATCCAATGGATGCATGAACTAATTTATTTTTCATTGACTCTTGTTGAAACATTGTTTACATATTCTACAAATGGATCTTGACCCATTAATGAGCAATTATTATTTGTGTCTAGCCATTCTGGATAAATTAATGGAATAAGTTAGTCTAGGTGAGGCTCTGGACTGAGTACGTTTATGAGGTGAGAAAATCTTAAAGCACTGTTTTTCTTGGAATAGTCATTTACCCTGGTGAATCCCTTTGTGTCAGATAGTACATTAGGAAAGGGTTTGTCATGGAGAAGGTCACTGGAATAGGGTCCTCAGGGAAGTGGCCAGGGCACCAAGCCTGTCAGAGTTCAAGGAATGTCTGAACGATGTTGTTAGTCATGTGGTTTAATTTTAGGTAGTCCTACAAGGACCAGGGAGTTGGACTCCATGATTCTTATGAGTCCCTTCCAGCACAAGAGATTCTATGACATTTAATGGTGCTATAGAGAGAAATTCTACAAGATATTCTTGTATACAATTAAGGGACCTAAAGTGAGTTGGTAATGGAAAGATCTTTTGTGACCTACAATTAATTTCTTTTTAGGTACTCTGTAAAACCAATAACAGGACTTCTAAACTGTGGACTCAAAGTGGCAACCAAGGTCCTCAGTGGAAGAGAGTGGAAGTGTTCTTAGGAGTTCGTTCAAATTTTCAGGTGTGTATTCCTAGGCAGCTGGCTTTATGCACTTTTCACCTCATTTCTCTTTTTGCCCCATACACATGCTGTCGCTCTGCTTCCGAATAGCAGAAGTCATCTATGTGACTGTCGGGTTATCTAAGCTAGACTCAGGTTTTTGGAGATTTCTCACTCCTCTTTGATCTCAGACTTATATCAATTTTTAAGACAGAGTATTTTTTGTATCCTTCAATCCAACTGAGGTTAAATTTTCTACTTTCTTCCCCTTACGGTGTGGTAATATTAAATCTGGTTTTTGAAAAAAGAATCTTGAACATGGTGTTTACTTTGAAATGTAATTCATTAGAGATATTTAATCATGGGTATGCCATGCTACTATATATCAATTTTATGTATATAATTATATATTAATATTATATTTTGTGGTAGTAGGTGGAACCCTTGCTATTAATTCAGGATGACTCGGGTCTAGTACGTGTTTCTTGCTCATTTTCTTTCTCTCTTTTTTTTTTGTGTTTTTTTAATGTTAGATGATGGTCCTTCAATAACTATAGTGACAGGTCTGCATAAGGAGTAGTACAAGCTTTCATAGGACTGTTCTTTGACAGTAAGAACTGACAAGTCCATAATTCCAAGATTTGCAAGGACCATCGTAGTCTCTGGTCTATTTGTGTTGCATGCATATGCTTTTATATATCCTGGTAGTGCCTTACTGTAATAGCTTTGTAATTTTTATTAGGTTGTTTTCAGGGCAAAACGTGGTGTCAGTTACATGGGAGATGTGGCAGTGGATGATATTACCTTTGAAGGTTGTTCACCCTTGCTCATGCCAGGCAGACCTTGCACATCAGAAGAATTCACATGTGCCAACAAGTACTGCATCCCAAAGGATAAGCTGTGTGATTTTGTAAATGATTGTGCAGATAACTCAGATGAGAGCCCTGCTATTTGCAGTAAGTATAGTAGGGTTTTTTTAAGGTAATTATCATAAATAACTGTGCTTGCTGTGAATTGTTATTGCTTGAATACTTTTGGCAGCTCATCAGCTAAGAAAGCAAACAAGAAGGTAATAATTCTATTCCTTGGCTCTTTAAAAGTCGAGTAGAAGTCTCCTGCTTTCCACATGAAAAGAATGCATTAAGACTGAAAAAAACCCTTTAATTGTAACACCTTTGGGATATGAGGGACCTACTTCCTTTGATATTTCAAGGATTGTCAAGTCTCTTAGCAAATCATTTTCATCTGAATACTGTACAATTTTGGTTTTACAAGAGATACCACCAAACAGCATCTGTTATATCCAATTCAAAGAATGATGTTTCGTATCAAACAGGTTCTCCTCTGGAGAAATGGATTACAGTATATAGTACCAATACTTTATTTTTTCTAGTACAATTGTGGGAAATGCTCACACAATCAAATCTTCATTGTTTGATGTGGCATGAATAGTTGCCTCATTTTTATGGAGATTATGGATTCCGTTTCTCAATTTCTTGTTGGCAACAATTCTGTAAAGCAAAGGTATGCTGATATCTTATGAAGTTAAGGTACACAGCAAAGCAGCTACATTTGGCAAATAATTTTCATACTATTAAACTCCTCAGTGATTTTCAAACTAGGAATAACAGGTCTCTAAGCTATATGGGGACTAGTTCAGATCTTCTGCAACTGTGTGTATCAAATTGGAATCACTCTGTTCTGGCTTTTATATTCTAAGATATTTAAAAGCTGTTTACCCATGACTTTTTTGAGTTTTCTGGGTTGTCTGTATTGCCCAGCCAAGTAAAGACAGAATCGTTAGGTACAAGATGGTTCAAATAGGCTTATGTGATATAGTTTTGCAGCCTGATGAAGTACTTATTTCATTCTGATTCCCCATTGGAAAAGCGATTAACTGAAACAGTCCTGTAAAGAAAATGCCTTCGTATAAAGTGCTTTTTTTGTTCACTATTTTAAAATTTTTTAAAAAGTAAAACAATACTTCAAAGAAAAGAAAAAGGACTGAGTTTTAAGAGGAAGCTTGCAAATAAAGTATTATGGAGCCTTGTGAGCACAGGAGTCATTACTGGGATAAAACTTTCGTGTCAGTGTGGACTTTGTCTCAGATAAAAAATTAATCTAATTTCACAATGTTTAATTGTGCTGTAAAATACTTGATGACCAATTATGACCTTCTTCGTTAGGTCTCAGACTGCTTTATTCAATCAGTCTTTAAATAACAGTGTCAGGAATTAAACTGCTTTTTGCTTTCATTTTGTCCTTTTATTTTTCCAGTTTTTAAAGAGGCATGTTTCTTTAAATTTCCACTTGAAAATTTAGGATTTCTGGAGAATTTAGGATTGCTGGAGAATTTAGAATTTCATTCATTGGCACTTCCTCTGCCTTATATATTTAATAAAGTAGAAATGAAGAATACAGCACTTGCTGAAAAGATACCTAACAGAGCAATGCTAATTCTGTTTTCACAGCTATTTTTTTTTGTGAGGCAGGCTGCCTCCAAAGAGAACATAATGATAGGAAACATATATTTCCACTCTTTGTAAAGGTTCTTTTTCATCCTTTGCAGCCATTAGAGAAGAGTTGTTTCCTCAGTGCTGGACCATAGAATGGTAGCATGAAAACCTAAAACTCAGAAGCTTGGGGAAGGTTTTAGTAGGGCAAAGCAAGATAGATCAAAGCACGGGAAATGAGAGGTGGACGGTTTTGCCCAGGCATGGCAGTTATGTTTAAAAAAGATGAAAACTCTGCAGCTTCAAGACATCTCCAAACTACCTTTCAGGAGTAGGTCTTCCTGGATCTCTAGCTCTAACTGTAAATATGGTTTTCTATGTGCATGAAGAGTTGTTGCATCTTAGTTAATGAAGTCTCTGTGCACCATTTTGAAAGAAACTAATCCTTAATTGCTGTTATATTCCTGAACTACAAAATGTTAATACATGTATATATACCACACAATGTTACTCACCAAGTCTAGTGAGCAATATTTAGACAATGCCAGTGCTACTGAGATCCAAGCTATGCCTCATAAAGCTGTTACTATTGAGTGATCTGTGCCATGGCTTTGTTTGCTTTGGAGTGGGCTCTTTTTAGCTAGTTGCATGTAAAATAAGTCAAGTACAGATATAACAGACATAATGATTTGTCAAATGTTTAGAAATTATTGCTTTAGATACCAAATTAGTGATCCATGCTCAGAGTTTTCTTTAAGTATAATGTCACTAGTACTATTTTTTTACTACAAGTATGTGAGAACAAAATAAACAACAGCAGTGTTGGACAGGTAATGGCCGGTAGCATTCCTTCAGCCCTGTTCAGAAACTGCCAGGCTTTGCCTCATGCTCCTTGAGGTTATCAGTGTGTTGGAGGAAGGTCTCTGAGGCAGCTCTGGTTAGATTGAGTTTGGGATGGCTTCTTGAGGTAGAAATGGTATTTTGTGAGATCTAGTAAATCAACTTTTGTGAAAAAGGGGGGCAAGTAATGATTTTCCAGTCTGAAATACGGATTTGTGCCTGTGTGAAGGTGGCTGGAATTGGTGGATATTTGATCTTGTCTGAGCTTCATTGATGTTTGGTTTAGCTCATCAGTGTACTTCTAAAGCAAATAACTCTGTTATTCCTATTTATTGTGATTTGGTTTTCATAGTAGAGTCTGCTCAAGCATATGAATTAGGCTCCTTTCATTAGAAAATAAATTGAAATATGAGCTCCAGGAAGGCAACAAATGTATTCTAACCACTAGTGGTCATTCAGCCCCAGAATCAGTCTATATTACCTCAGTCCTCTTTCGTCTACTGACCCTCTAAATGTCATCAGGTCCTCAGTATCAGGTGTTTTGCCCTACAGATCTGCTCCTATAGCTCTATCTTTGTTCATCTAGCATAGCTACCGAGAATAATATGACTTAAAGCACTTTAAATTTTGCTCCATTTAATTACATAGTTTGTTACAAAGATTCACTATATCTTTAATGATCAGTATAATACAGTTCATATACCTACCATCAAGTGCTTTTCTTAAACTGTTAAGTGCTCAGCCAGTAGACTAACTCAACAACTCTGTGTCACTGCTCCATAGACAAAAGGATTAGCTTTGCTTTTGTGCTTCATTACTAAGAGTTCATAGCTCTTAATAAAAGTGTCTGCTACTACTACAGATTTAATATGCAAGTGCACAGCCAACTGCTATAACTTGAGCTTCCAAGCAGGCTGCCTAAGTTCTCTTTTTCATCAGCGAGGTGACTCATTTCCAGGCTGAAATTCATGTAGTACAAAATCATTTGTTCAAGTTACATTAGGTAAATTGTGCTATAGGTCTGAGTATTTTTCTTTGTGGACTATAGAGATCCTACAAGGACATCTAAATTTTGATGTGTCAATTCAGATGCAGTATTTACAGCATCATCAGGGATGTTCAGTGCTCAGACTTTAAGGTCTTGATTCTTGAAAACATGACTTTAAAATAAAATGGTCAGTTGAATGCATGATTTTTTAGACTTGAGAAGGAATTTGTAAGTAATTGAATATCTTTAACTAGGATTCTGAAATATTAAGTAACAAAATGTTCATCTGGTAAAAGATGAGAAGTAACAAATTTTATGTGCAGTTACAGTCAGTTGAAGTAATATATGTTTTGCATAAATGGTAATCATATAATTTATCACATCAGGTTTGGAGTTTTGATTATTTCAGATGACATCATGTTTGGAGACAAAGGTAAAAGACAGTAAAGCTATTTCTGCTGAATATTCCATGTTTTTAAGAAAATGTTTCTAGCTTCTTTTTCACCCTTAGGACCTCACCAAAAAAAGAAATACAAATAACAAATCTTTTATCTGATTTCAGCCTGAAATTTTGGAGGTAGCCGTCTATACTGTTTTGGTCCGTGTCTAAGACTCCATGGATTTTAGTTCCTTGGTCTCATTACTGAGGCTTCTGATCATCTGCCAGTTAAATAAAGCTACTTTTAAGTGGCTGAACTTCATCACACCCCAGAAGAGGCTTAGGTTATGTTTACATTTAAGAGAGAGCTTTTGTCATTTCTTTTATTGTCAGACCAAATGATTCATACAGTTTCCTAATTTATCTTCAAAGCACTTTCCAGCAATAATAGTAAGAACATTCAGGACACAGTTGAAAGTCTCTTGAAGGCTCTGCTGAAATTCCAGCTTATTTCAGCAAGTTTAGTCTTTCCTGGTAATCATTATAATGAAGTTATAGATACATAGAGGAAAAATTATACTTAGCTTGAATTCTAGGGTACTGCAATTGACTTAACCTTAATTTACATAGATAGTTGACTCACCATGATGGATGGTTTGATATTCAATTGGAAAATCAGTGAAAAGCATGTATATTGTTTCCTATAAAAATCAACAAGAATTATACCAGCTTTCTTGGGTTTTAGGCATTAAATACAGTTTAAGGAGTAATGTAGGTAATCATCTATGTTTGCATATTAGCTAAGAAAATACATGTGTGAACTCTTCTGGAAACATGCAAAAGTAAACTAACCACGAGTGTGATTCAGCTCAAAGTTAGCGCACATACAGTGATGTTTTTCCTTTATGTGTCTTTACGGAGGCTGTGTCTTTGTGGTTCTCAATACATTCATTTGGATGGATTTCTGTTGTCTAAATAAAGGCATTTCTTATCATTCTCACATGACCTCAATGACTTTCTCCAAAAAGAGGCTAGTTTTCTGCAAATTTCTTGGATGCCCAATGGAGGGCACCATTTGACCTCTGCCTTCAACTAAAATATTTTGCTATATTTGGTTAATTTTATACCAAGAACTCTGTTGACCATAATAATAAGAGCATAGAGACCTACCTTATATAGCTTATAGCTGCAATTTTATCCTATTATTATATTCCAGAACATGAAAAATCCTCTGTTTAGTAAGATAAATGAATATTATCTTTTATACTTGAGCTGATTTTAAAAAATGAATTTGAATACTAGGTTGTAGTATAGGTACCTATTTAACTTTGGGGGAAAATAAATTCTTTTCTCATATGTGTGCAAATGTCTTTCAGGTATATCTATTGGGCATTGCAATTTTGAGTTTGATCTTTGTGGATGGAAGCAAGATGAAAATGATGATTTTGACTGGAATCTCAGAACTAGCAGTACTACTAATATGGGCACTGGCCCAGTTACTGATCATACACTGCAAGAGCCATCTGGTCATTATTTTTTTATAAAGAGTTCATTTCTTCGTCTGCCAGGACAGAAAGCTAGGATTTCTAGTCCTATGCTAAGCAGAAGGAATAAAAACTGCAAGGTAAGTTGGAGTGTGGTGTTGACAAGAATGTAGAATTTGTTTTCTAGGTTACACCAAAATAATACTGCTAACATGAATAAAGATGATCAATGAAATATTTCTTGAGAAAAAAAAAACATGTAGAAGAATCAAGGTCTGAACTTACTTCCTTGAACTCATAAGAAAAACATGTATCTTGTTGAGGGAGAAGAATGCTTTCTGTAAGCAAATGAATATGCTGGGAGATTCAGATGAAGTTGACAGTGAATGCAGTGTCTGATTTAGAATGTCTTAGGTGACACTCTAAGGAGCATAAGGCCTGTGGACTTATGGAGAAAATGTGTATAAATACAACAACAATTGGCTTTTAAAAAGTGCAACTGCAAATGGACGGATGCATAACAGAAGGCTTTGTCACTGACTGTCCACTAGAGAATGGAGGAAAATGTCAAGGCAAAATGGATGTTATTTCTGTTTCTAACACCAGTGTCAAACACAAAATGGAAGTTTAAACATTAATAGTTTACAATCATTTTAATTACTAACAATATTAATAATATTTTTAAACACTAGCTAGAAATAGAACTAAACAAAATATTTTTATATTTTACTTACATGGAGAGGAATATTGTGTATAAATGGAGCTGCTTGGGAAAGTAGTACTTTTAGTCTTTGCAAAATTAGCATAGGAAAAAAACTTAAGATTTTAGAAAATTAGCAAGGCAGGAATGGCCTAACATTTTCAAGGAAAATTTTGGAATGGATTCTAGGATTGAAAAACTGATGTGGGGGAAAAAAAGCTACAAAAAAAAATCAAAAGACCTAGCGAAGAGAAAATATTGGTAATAGTATTATATTATTTACACATTTGACTTGAGATGAAGGAATCTAAGGTCAAGAACTACTGAGAGTAAAAACAACGTTCAGGCTGTTATTTTGAAAAGTATTTTATTAATCAACTGTAGCAGGTATTTCCTCCCCCCAGCTAAGCTGTTGCTAGGCAGATTCCAGGGAATCTGCCTACCTGAGCTAGTCCAGACTTGTCTATGAAACTTGAGCTGGTCAGGACTCGGTTACACCCAGGAAGCTGGCCAGCAGCCAATGATAAGCCGAGATGGCTATGATTGACCACAGTCATCACTGGCTAGATTTTAAAAGGGGGCTTTGCAGCAGCCATGTTGGAGTTACCTCGTGGCAGTGGCCTGAGGAGGTCATAAAGTCTCCCCCTTGGTCTAGGGCATCCCTAGGCAAGGTAGACCAGGTGAGCATGGAACCCCCCACCTGGTAAAGGTACCCCCTGGCAAGGTTAAAAGGGAGAATGGGAATCCCCCCTTTTATGGTACCTCAGTGAAAACAATCAAGACGAGAAAGGGAACCCCCGGCTTGACTGAGGTGAGTGTACGATAATCTGGATTATCATTCTTTTGTCAAGGGCTAGTGCGTGAGCTTGATCTTTGTCTCAACCGATACCAAACCTTTAAATTAGGAGGAGCTTATATCCTGTAAATAAATTTAAATTTAACTACACGCGCGAATTTATTTTTCGGATATGGGCGCGCTCCTCACCTCCTTCTTTACATCAACACATGAAGATCTGTCTAACTTGGCAGTAGGAATGTTGGTTGGCTATCTAACTCTCTAAGGAGAGCTGCTCCTTTGAATTAATTTAAAGACTATGGTGCCAAAAAAAAGATGGTGTTAGAACAAAGTCTTAAATTTAGTTTTAATAATTAAGCAAAAACATACAACATAGATTATAATTCTGACATAATTTAAGAATGAAGTCTAAGAATTTTAATTAAAAAAGTATGTAATTTGTATCAGCAATTCCTTTAGGGTATGCATGGTGAAAGAGGGTAGTGGTATTTGTTTTCGTAAGTATTGTACTTTCTGTGTATTTTTGCATTGTAGCCTTTCTAATTTTATTTCAGTATGAGAAAATTTGTTATCTATAGAACTGGTTCTTATAATTCTTTTAGTTTTAAAAAATCAGTGATAAATTTGACAGGATAGGCCTGAAAAGATCAAATAGCCAGCTTATGACTGGCAAGACCCAGAGAACCCTGGAGAACGTAAAACTAGAGAGCCAGCCTCCCTTCTGATGCAAAGCAAATTAAGGATGAGAATGAGTATTTCACATATTTCACATATTATAGTATTTCAGTATAATTCATGCCCAAATAACTGGTGGCCCCAGCCCTGAAAGATTTTGGATATGTCACTGAAATCGGGAATAAAGCCCCTTAATACCAATGTAGTGTTAAAAGGCAGGCATTCTTTATTATGGTGGCAGATGCACATTAGATCATGCCACCTATCGTGCATGCCCTACAGCACCTAAAGCGATGCTTATATTATCCAAAATCATACATATTCACTACATTTCCCAGAACAATCATACATATTCACATTAATTCCCCAAAATCATTATCATTAGCTCCACCGTTGTTGCACATACTTTTTAGTCTTTCAGAAGGTCTTCTGACACCACTGGTGGTCTTCCCACGGCTGTCCTTTCGGCAAACTCTTGGATTCCTTTTGGGTGTCTTGGGTTCACAGCCTGCAACTGGTCAACTGGTCCACAGATCTCTCTTGATTAATGTATATAATTACAGGTCATAGTTTTTAGCTCCCTCACCTTAACTTTCTCTGTTCTTGTGACTATCTTGCTCTTACAATGCCCCAATAATCCTATTGATTCTGTATCAGATACATGCTTAAAATTAATTTTTATGTAAATATTATCAAGATGAAATTACTACTCCATGATATATCTAGAAGTGATGTAATAGAATGGAAAACTAGTATGTTGAATCCAGTATACAAAATTCTTCTGTGTAATTGAGATACAGACATGGTAAATAAATGTGAAGTCCAAAAAAGTAATGATGGAGGTGGGGGTGGGATAGGGATATGAATTCAGTGATCATGAAAGAAAGGCAAAAATACAAAACACAGTCTGTTAGTTATGAAAAGAAATGTAGCTCAGAATTTAATGACAGTCAGAAAATCAAAAAAAATTCAGCAGTTATAAAAAGAAAAGAGATTGATCCTAAAAGTGTGAAATGTATATTATATGGTTTAAATATATACATGTATATTGAACAGGCAAACCTCATTTAAAGAAAGATTTTAAGAGGAACAGAGTAGTTGCAGGACAGGAAATGAACAGGTGAAGAGAAAAAAAATCCATGAAAGAAAACTCTTTATAAAAATTTCATTTGACTACTTCATTGCTCAAGAGACAATCTGAAAGTGAACAGAATAAACCTTTCAAAAGAATTATAACATAAAGCCCTTGATGGCTTTACTAATCAATAATTAGAGAAAAATAAATTAAATAGGAATGTTTGTTTGGGGCTTTTTTTAATAGTATATTTATGTAATGCAATAGACTGCAGAAGCCTGTGAAATCCTATAGCACCAGGTAACACAAAGGGATGTGACTTTACATTTACATGGATATTGTAATGTTTACTATTATGTTTTTATAACTATAATAAAAAAGATAGAATTTTCAATCTTTAGGGCTTATGATATGCATTAGACTGTGAAAAAATTTGAACTACAGACATGTTCTCACATATTATAGCATGAACTGCCTTCCTTCAGGGTCTTATGTCATTCCTGGAAATATCCTGATCTTTTTCAGAAATGAAATATTGAACTAGATTAGGTATTAATTTGATCATATGCAAGTATTCCTTTGTTGATCTTGAATTGAAAATAACTGCAAGAGCAGTTAATGGTAATGACTCTTCACAGTGATTTTTTTTTATCTACATAGTTGATCTTACTTCTGTCCTTCATAATTTCTTTTCCCCATTTTTACAAAAAAAAAAATCAATGTTTCCTAATCCAAGGACCTATGTTTGGGGTTTTTTTCATTTCTTCAGTCCATGTCAAAGTTTTACTCACATATTAGATTAGAAAATATTATTTTCTGATTATACACTCTGTAATCTAGCGTAAACACCTTTATAACCTGAAGAGTGTTCAGTAAACAGAAGTTACTTCCCATATTTTAAGTGGCACTACTCCACTCCTCTCCATCCTTATCAAGAATTTTCATTCTTTTACATGCAAGAATTATTCAAAGGGATGCAAGATCAACTGTCACAGTATTGTAATGATGGCTTCCAAGTTTGGCTTGTGGAATAGCCAAAAAAAATTCACTAGTAAGTCTTTTGTGTGCATTTTAATTAAACTGGGTTTGAATCAGTAAAATTAAGGGCTATTCTGAATGTTAGTGATGATGCTAAATTAAATAATTAATGTAAATACAATAGCAGAATATATCTAAAGTGACCTCTTGTATATTGTTCTTTCTTACAGATACTTTTCTATTACCATATGTATGGAGCTCACGTTGGATCATTGATTGTCTACCAGAGGACTATGGGAACACATGAAAAAATTCTCCTTAATCTTACTGGAAACCAGGGAAATTTCTGGCAGCGCAAAGCACTAAACCTGGCTGGAGATGGAGGTGAAGATTTCCAAGTTGTCTTTGAAGGCATAGCTGGAAATGGTCCCAAAGATGGCATAGCACTTGATGACCTCACTTTTTCCAAGGAGTGCTTACCAGCCCAGGAGTTCTTACCAGCAGAACCCACAATACTGCCTCCAACGGGTATGTTCCTGCTAAGGGCAGACGGTCTATATAAACCTGGAAAGAAGGAATAGCAGTATTGCTTTTGTTTCTTTGTCTCTCCTTCAAAAAAGAAATAGAATACATAGCTTGCTAATGGCATATTAAAACTTCACTTTCTTTCAAGTAGCTCTTTGAAATTCTATCAAAATTATTCTATGAAACAAATGTTTGGGTACTGGGTCAACACTCGCGAATGTGCAAGACTTTTTGTCCAGCCATTTATACTTAGAAAATATCCTGCTTAATTCAGTGGGATTTATTTATCAATAGTTTTAAAGTATAGTTATTGTAAAATAAAGAACTAAGAGTGTGACAGAGACAATATGGACAGATTGCAATAAGGCCAGCAGGCTTTAATGCTTCTAGCCTAGTGGGAATTCTTAGTGATGCTGCTTAGGCACCATATCCATCTTCTTCCTGTGTGGTGTGGTGCTAGCATGAGTTTAGTCATTTGCACTGTCTTCACTTACTGCACAAGGGAAATAAGACTCAGAAAAGCTTACCAAAAATAATGAAGTTGTGATGGGGATGGATCCAAATAACTCCAAGGTAAGATCTGCTCAGGAAAGCAATGTTATTGTCTGTTACTAATACTTGCTTAGACACAAAGGATGAAGGAGAAACTCTTTGAGACAGAGCAGGACAAATTTCTTTCCTTGTTCCTTGTTTATCAGCAGAACTACTGAAATGTAAACCCCCAAAGTGGAATTTAGGAAATGCATTTTTTTCCTGGGCCTACTACAAATTTCCTACACAGCTGCAGCAAGTCATTTTATCTTACTTCTGATCAATAAAACAAAGTTAATATTTCCCAATGTTAAGGACTATCGGGAGGATGGATCATTAATTTATGTGAGCTGCTTTGCTTTGTTACTGCTGCTAATGAGTAGCCTTCCCCTTTAGGATATCATTAAGCACTGCTCAGGCACTGGGAAGTAAAACCGATGAGACTACATCAAACCCAAGAAATTACACTGTAGTTTGTGCATAAGATAAGCAGAAAAGATACGGGGAATGTTTTCCAGATATATCTCTGATAAGTTGCCAGTTACAGTACATGATATTGGCTTCCTGCTTCTGTCAAAACAGTCATGGAAATTGCAAATGAGATTGGTATTTTAAAGTTCAGGTTTATACGAATGCTACCCCAAGAGGAACACCAGCCGAGGTTTCTGATTCTTTATTTTTGATGTTTTCAGATTCTGTCCTGCTAATGGTAGGTGCGAGTCCCTGTGGCAGTGTTAGAAACTTTAAAAGCTTTGCTTTTGATAGTAAAGGATGTTCCAAAACACTTTTATGTTGTATGTAATAAAAAGGGTACTAAAAATCTCAGGAAAAAAGCCACCAGAGACTGGTTTCTTGGTGTAGCTTGTCTAAGATGTACTTTGTGAACTTTGTGGATTCATGGCACTTTGAAATAATGGTCTAAATTCATTCTTATATTGAACCATGTTTTCTCTATCAACAGCTTTCACTTGTCCCAGATAAGAGTTTACTTTAGTCACTGAGGTCTCCAACTTACAGCTGCTCTTTAGCAGTCATGTCTGTTTGGATCGTTGCTTGAAACATGGGCTTAGAAACTCGAGTATGAAATCTGTGCCTTCCTGCAGAAACGTTCTGAACAGGGGCAAAATGCACGCAGAAGGCTACAAAAAGGGCTCTGTGATGTAATTATAAACAGGAGGCAGCTAGAGTGACCGTGATGATCAGCTGCAAAAATCTGGTCTCCTAGACTTTTCTCCTTATATGCAGAGAAAAGGAGAGTTTAACCAAAAGCCAAACACTTCTATCTGTCTTAATTTTTTTAAAGATTCTGAGGGTTAAGAAGATGCAGCAGAGATCTCTGTTCTTGTCTCCATCTAGAGAGAATATTTGCAAAGAAATTAGAAATGTTTTCCCTCTAATGCGAAGATTCGTAGTTTTCAGGTCTGTTCTCACAACATGACAATGTAGAATTGATACTGATGCATATTTTTCTAGCTGGTTAATACACTTCCTCTACTATATTTAGATGTGTGTTTCTCTTACTCAGGACTTGTAAGGAATGTTTCCTTCATTTTAAGTGAACAAAATAACACAATGAATAGTAACTGTCATAAATGAAGTTTGATTATTCAGGTTTTTTTCTCAAAACTTGAAGAGTTTAGCTTGTAATTTTTATGACATGCCAATCTACAATTAGTATTCTGTAAAAAAAACCACATAAAAAGGATTTGTATCAGATTATTTTCTTCATGTCTTAAAAAAAAAATCAGGATTCATTGTGATGCATACACCAAGGGAGATTCTTCTGGATCGTATGAGCAGTATCACCATGTAACACGTGTACTATGGTTGTCTGTGCTTGTTATTTCTACACAGAGTGCTGTGTCAATGGATATAGTGTAAGGTCAAAATCAAATAGAGTTCTTAAATGTTCCTATCTGTGACAGAGACTCTCAGCGTTCAGAATTGTTCCTTGAGTCTATGTATAGTCTTTGAAATTCTAAACATTTAAAAAAACTACATTCTAAGGGGGTCATTTGTCATCCAGACCAACACGCGATAACACTTAAATGCTCAAAGTGAGCACCAGACAACTCAAAAAAAAATTTTTGAAAGCAGTGTTGTTTTTTACAGACTGACAGCATGCTGTAGACTGTCCACATGATGCTGCTCAGCAAAAATAATGCTGAAGTGGAAAGCCACTGAGAGACACTTAAAACACTGCAACTGAGAAACACTAACCAACATTTTAGGCTGGTACTTAACAACTCTTCACTATGTATGTAGCGATGTATGGGAGAATATCAGCTTTTGTCCTGCAGTGGTATTGTGTGTAGGAAGATACGGACAGTTTTGTTCTAACAGTGCTATTTATGCCTGTTGCTATGTCTATGCAGTGTGGCCAGATTCTCAGGTTAGACTGCCTTTATCCACATGACCCTGGAAACAGCCCTTGGCTATACTGAACCTTGAAAAGTTGCAATTCCAGCCTTTTTTTTTCTATATTGGCTTTCTGTGGCAAGGTTCAGGTAGCTGGGGAAGCTACAGGGATGACTTCTGTGAGAAGCTGCTAGAAGCTCCTCCTATGTCCAACAGAGCAAATGCCAGCTTGGTCCAAGAGAGACCGGCTGCTGACCAAAGCTGATCCAATGGATGATGGTGGTAACGCCTCTGGGGTAACATATTTAAGGGGAAAAATAATCCAAACAAGCTGTACAATTGCAACCAGAGAGATAAGTGAGAATATGTGGAAAACAGCACTGCAGACGCCAAAGTCAGGGAAGAAGGAGGGGGAGGAAGTGGTCGAGGTGCCAGATCAGAGGTTCCCCTGCAGCCCATGGTGAAGACCATGGTGAGAGGCAGGCTGTCCCCCTTTCAGCCCGTGGAGGTTAATGATGGAGCAGATGTCCACCTGTAGCCCATGGAGAACCCCATGCCAGAGCAGGTGGATGCTTGAAGAAGGCTGTGACTCTGTGGGAAGCCCATGCTGGGGCAGGCTTCTGGAAGGACCTGTGAACCCGTAGAGAGAGGAGTTCACACTGAAGCAGGTTTTCTGGCAAGACTTGTGACTCCAGGGGGGATCCATGCTGAAGCAGTCTATTCCTGAAGGACTGCACCCCATGAAAGGGTCCCACATTAGAGCAGTTCATGGGAAGGACTCATGCTGGAGAAGTTCATGGAGGACTGTCTCCTGCAGGAGGGACACCATGCTGAGGAGGAAGGAGTGGCAGAGACATGTGGTGGCCTGATTGCAACCCCCATTCCTGTGCACTGCTAGAGAGGGTAGGATGTAGAGAATTTTTTTAATTGGGTTGATGTGTTCCTGGAGTTATCTTCAATGCTTTGCTGTGTCACTCTTCAGTAGCGGTAGTGGCTGGAGCTTATCATCACCTGTATGTGGGGACGGATTATGTTGTTCTGTGTAACTCAGTTAACATTGTATTTCATTGCCGGTCACTCAGGATGCAATTCATTTACTTAACTGTGGCTTTTTAGCTCCATTGCAGTTGTATGAGATACCTGACACACCTGTCTGGGGCTGGCAGTTATGCTGCAGGGATCATAGGAAAGTCTAACACGCCGCAATACTGGCTTATGTGAGGGAAGCGGCTGAGCAGGTAACAGGCGCTGAGTGCTGTCTCTTTAAGCAACCCGATTTTCAAAAAATATTTTTCCTGGTTTCCATAGTTATCCCTAGCTCATATCATCAGCAGACTTTTCTAACTCATTATTCGTGAGCTTCCCTTTTTTCTAAGTAAGCATTAAAGAATACAGCCTTGCTATGTTTTGAGTTTATTTGGCTCATTGGTTGTTTTTTTGTTTGCTTTTCTTGTGTTTTTTTTTTGTTTTTCCAGACTGTTTTGGAATCATTTTATCACAATCATCTAATGCACAACCGAAAAAAAAATTATATTTTAGAAACATAGATAAAATTAAAAAAAACAAAAGCAAAGAAGGAGAACAGTCAGGAAATAACATTTGACAAAGTATTTTAATTTTAAATAGTACACAAAAATTTAGAGTGTATTCTAAGGACCAAAGGATATTGTTTATATCACTCTTTTTTCAGATGTAATTAGATTTATAAAAATTTACAGAAACATAAATAAAAATCATCCGAGCAGTTTTTCTACCTAATATATAATTACAAGAACAAGCACATTTTATGCTTCTGTGCATAATGAGATCTCTTACTGAAGAGAGGAAAAAATGTCTCCTTATGCATAACTGATCAAATAAAGCATTTACGTCTTCCTTGGAATCAACCAGCATTGTCTGTGAGGATAGGATGTGAGAGAAATATAGCAGAATGTCTAAAGCGCTTTAAAACCAGTTCTGGGGAAAAAAGCAAACAAACAAGAACACCACAAAAAAAAACCAACAAAAAAACCAAGCCTATAAAGAGTAATTATAATTTCTGATATGCCCCTAAACATTTGGAAGATATAGCATAGGAATGGTTTCAAGTTGCAACAGGGCAAATTTAGACTGGA